ACCTGTGAATTTAGCGTAGGGTGTAAAAAATTATGGTTGGTAAAAAAAAAATGGTTAGAAATGGACTATAGCCATTCACACTAATTGGTTTTGATTTATAAATACAGAAAATGATATAGTCGTGCAATATAATATATAATTATATGCTTGTATAGTTTAGATAGTACATTTCCTTGTTACCAATATTAATGGTAGGATGCCTCTATTTACCAGTATTAAACTCTTGATTTCCTCAAAAAATAAAACATTGACTATGTCGTTGCTTGTGTGACTGAGAATATATACGTACATTCAAATGTGTTTACAATCATGAGCTAACTCTATCTATTCATGGCATTGTTTGCAGTTTTTATTCGTCTTGCGTATAAGATTTATATAATAAATCTATGCGAAGGTGGGAAAATATAAGAGTTCTCAACAAAAAAAAAACAAATTGTAGCAATTAAGAGGGCTTACGTATTACCATTGAAACTGAAATTTAAAAAAAGTTCAAGGTCAGGTGCATGAGAATTTCTCATCTCATATATTGAAATAATAGAAAATATTAAAATACATACAGTAAAATCTTTTATACGATAGGTACGTTCCTAAGAAAACCATCTAAAAAAATACACGATTCATATGTTTATCTGGTGTGCTGTTCCACAACCTTAAGAAATCGTGTAGAATTAAAAAAAACATCACATAGTTCCTTAAAAAATGCACAAAATAGTGATATTAAACTCCATTAAGTAATAATAAGACGAAACAAAAAAAATAGCGACCAACTCATCGCTACTTGATAACAATCGCGTACGTTTACGTCGGCTTAAAAATAGTACTGTCAACAGAAGATACATATGTTGAACACAACTGTTCGGTTTTGTTCTAATGCAGAACTATCTTCATTATTAGCGGCCTCTATAAGATTTTTTTGTTATAAAGTCTGTTAAAAGAATTTAAGTTCACGTTATTATTGTAATACACGCTCCATGTCGGGATCTTGAACAAGAAAATGTTGTTCCAAACTTACGAATTAAATTAGACGTTAAAACCCGACCTTCACCTTCCTCGTAGATATTAACATCTTTATTCTCATAAATGTCAGCGGGAGATGAAATGGGGAAATGAAGAATTCCCGATACTTTTTTGACAGGGTGTATGCTATTTGAAAGACCTATAATCTCCGAACAAATTTCTGATCTTTGCACCACTGAAGTTCCACTTTGAACGAAAGCTGGTAAACTGTTTTTCCAATAAGCATTTGAGGTTGATTACCGCAACTGTTAGATGGCAAAGGAAACATGTGTAATGCAAAATATTATACTTTTTCCATGCTCCCTTAACATTAAAATTGTTTTCTTCAACTGAATCTTAAATATATCTTAACCTTTGCTTGATGTAGTACATTTTAAATGATGCTACACCATCCTAATCGATTGAATCAGCGAAGTGGTATTAGACGGCAAAAACAGCAACGGAATATTCGGACGTACTATCACAGGGTACATTATCAACAAGCAAAAGTATTTAGAGTTCTAAACCTTTTTGTGTCATATATTTCTGGACTTCGGGAACAGAACAATCATTAAACCAATCTTTCAGCAGATTAGCCGTCATCCATGCCTTTTTATTCGCCATAAAATGAACTGAAAATTCTGAAAATTAAGTCCTTACCTTTTAAAGCTCTTGGCATAAGGGATTTGTTAATTAAGAGTGGATTCCGCATTTCATCGCCATATGCGTTACTGCAAAGCAAGAGGGTCACCCGATGACCAAGTGTCTTTTGAGAATTTGGTTTGAATGTTCTTTTTGGCATTTCCTTCCAAAACAATGTCGTTTCGTCGGCATTAAATATTTGATCTGCCCTCTTGAATTATTTTTGCTTGTTTATCCGTATAGTTTTTTTTTGCCGAATTCTCGTCTGATGATGACAATTCTCCTTGAATTTTTAGATTGTGAAAATTGAGTATTGTCAGAAAATACCCATGACTTGCATTAAGAGCAATTTTATTAGTTCCCTGATGGGGTACTAATGGTTCTAACTCCTGAAGTTGGTTGTATATTATAAGTGTTTCTTTTTAATAATTTATCCCATCTTTTTTGTTTGATGTAAATCTTCAATCGACAACACCATATATTTTACAGCTTTCTCCGAGGTTGATTTTCGACTACAAGAGGTTGTTTTTTAACTAAGTGCTGGCCCAGAAATTACTGATTGTCGAATGGAACTCACTTTTTTTTTAACTGTTCTTATTGTCGCTGTTGTGTAGACATTGTACAATATTCATAAGGGCACTGTTAAAACGAAATAAAATAAAATTGCTTATTGCAATTTTCTATGATAACAATCTAACATAATGTTACGTTTTGAAAAGTTCAAGTCAACAATTCCGATTATGTAATTTGTATATTTTGCCAAATTATAAAACAAATAACTAACGTAAACTTTACCTTTAAGAACTTTATTGAAATTATATATTGCCTCATCAGCAAACTGATATGTTGAATAAAGAGGGTATTTCCTTTAAATTAAACAAGCCGTGAAGTAGAGTTACCATTTGGATGATATCCAACACTGCAGAAAATCATGTTCAAAAAACATTTAAGAATTTGTGTTAAAGCGCCATAATCCGTAAAAAATCTTCGAGTTATAGAAGTTTTCATGAAAACATAAATTTTTTAAAAAGCTGTAAAATATAGATTTTATTTGCTTGCATAAAGATTTTTGCTTATGTACATTTATTTTGTAATTTTTAGCTGAACATATATTTTTTGCTTGTTTGTTTCAGTAAAAAGAGATTATAATCTGTTTAGGGCTTTGCACTGATCGTCAATTGTATTAATATTCGTATTTAAATAGGAATTTCAAATTGCAAAAGAATGCGTTATATCATTTTTGTATGGCGGTTGAATAATTCTTTTATCGTTTTCCATGGGACTAGAAGTCTATAGCCGGGTCGGGTCTGAAATATTCGGTTATAAAATATCATCTGTTATAAAGCCGGCTGAGCAAATCTCATTGTCCTCCTCCTCTCCATTGTGAATTTAATAACATTTGAAGGGATAAATACGCGCTGCGACTTCTACGCAAGCAGCTGGTGCCGTTATGTATACTGAAAGAAACGAATGTACTATTTATAAATGCAATTTTGTAGTTGTAGACAATGCTTCGTTTGTAAATATATTATTTTACTGTCAAACAGATAGAAACATCTGAAACGGTGCGACTAAGTTTCAAACCAAGTAGACAAGAGAAAAATGAACTAATATGTAAATCGCGCGTATATTATGAAAAGTGAAAAGGCTTATCTTAAGCCATTCAAACAAAAATTTGAGCAAATACCTGTTTATAGAATAAAGTTCTCGAATATGTTTATCATTCATCTAATTAAGAACGATACTATACTTAGTTAAAAGCATGATTAGAAGCATTGGCCTTGGAAGAGTCTATGTAGTCATATAGATATTGAGTTTGAGACGTAACCAACTACTCGTTATTAGGTCAATTCCACTAGTCTATAACTTGAGATACCGATCAGCAAAACATTTTAGAAAACGAAAATACAGACGAGATGGAAAAGTTAGGAGTTTACCTTGACGAATCCGAGGCTTAGATAATATTATGCCCGCTAAAAACGACCACGAGATCACAATTTGAAGAATAGAAAAGATTGAAATCTATGCATAAACAAATGAAAGATGACGATGCAGATATGGCAAAATATGGCAAGGCAATAACTAAGAACTTATTTAATAGGTCCAGATGAACTCTTGGTATCCTTTATGTACGAAACTTGGCTATCTAATAACGCATGAGCAGTCTCATTGAGGGTTCCAAATGGTTTGGGCTTTAGTAATATACCACAAATTGAACGATATTTTCGTACGAAGAAACATGTACAGTATCTCCTTGAAAAGTTATTTTCAGATTTCGACAATAGATAAAACATATATTAAAGCAGTGTTTGTTCTTGATTTATATATAAACTGATTTAGCTACTTTTCACCGCTTAATATACGGATATCCAAATGGAATATTATAGCAAAACCAATTTTGTTGAAATTGGTAACTTTCTTAATGCATCTGACCTATTCATTTAATGAGTATGTGAGGTGAGCGTGGTTAACATCAGAATTCAACCATTTCACTTTGAGGTACTCAAGGATTCGTTTTTAGCAAGTTTTGTTGATATTGATTTAGAGATTTGTGAGATATGTTCATCAAACCTATTAGACGGCAGGGATAGTCCAATAACACTAAGGCCCTCGAACACGTGTGTCTAGTCCCATTCATATTATTTCAATTTAGTTTTATTCAGTATATAGATTTTTTTTAATGTGTTTCAAGCAGTATCTTTTTCTATATAGACTTGGGCCAAAAGTGGATAAGGTCCAATCAATATTTTTGTTTTAAAAATAAACATTTAGTTAATAAGAATAAACTTTATCAAACTTTTTCTGTTGAATCGGCGGCCATCCCTTTTACGATGTATTTCCATACATTGGCGATCTCTATACGATTTAATAGTATAAAAACGAAGGTTAGACACAATGCTACTAGTAGTCGTTTATTATGAATAGAGCTGTAACCTTTTTAGTTTATTTACTTCCGACAAACGAATAATAATTACTACATATATACCATATATAAAACGTTCAGCAACAGATCGTTGAGGG